TTATTATTTCCTATTCAAACAGAACAGGTGGGACTTACTGCTTCCAAGTTCTATGCGGTTATTCTTCTTGCGGTTTTTGTTCCTCCTGGCACAGCATCAATCAGAATACCAAGATATCCACAGCCAATGCAAGCCATAGAGCTCAGCATAATCCACCAGTTGCTTTCGAACGAGGTGTCCGGTGAGTGGGATCCATTTCACGATTTTTCCGCTCTGAGGTACGTGGCACGTCTAATTAGGGATTCGGGACGCGTATTTCACCTTTTTTGAGCAGACGATTCGGTTAAACAGACCCATGAGATCTTCTAGTGTATGGTTTGCGTGGTTTAGATTGAAGAGTCCGGTCAACCAGTTGATTTCAACATGCTCGCCAAGAAATGCCCCATAGTGTGATTTCAAAATTTCTGGGGGCGATATGCAGTCATCTGCATCTATGATGTTCATCGAAAGTCATGTCAGTCTCCCTGCATCAAAAACTGCGGCACTTGGAGGTAACCTGAGAGTGCTGGCATGAATTTACTGCACAGCAAGCCCGATTTCCCAGCTCATTGAAGATAAGTTGATTTCGTTGTTCTGGCTCTATGAGTAATTGCATATGAATTAGCCCGAATTATCTAGCATACTTCAGCCCAAACGGTGCAGAACTGAGCGAAATAGGGCTAATTCTTTCAGAAATGTCAAAAACCTCCAAATTTAGAAAATTTTGATCCGCGCCTTCGGTACTGTCGTTGGCTGTAAATACCGTACATTACCACAATGTTGTGCGTCACATCATGCATTATACACCCCTTCTGAATTAAAGTTGGGTCGAAAGGGCGTGGGAACGTCATGTGTATGTTATGCTTTTCCGCGGTCCGGAGTCCGACGTTCCAGTGAAATCAGACTCCAGATAAAAGTCATTGACTATTATAACTTTGTGGAGTCTGACTGGGGGAGACTAATATAAGGACTTCCTTAGAAAGATGACCTGATATGAGGGTCTTTGAGTGTCTATAAAATTGGAGCCGGACCTTACTACTGTAGCATTTCGTTCAATTCTCCCTGGCTGTGACCTGTGACCACAAAATTCGAACTTTGGTTTTTCGTATATGGGCCAGGCAGACCGTGACACCGAAAAAACTTCGTATATTTCCCACGGGTCTTGCAGTCAGAAATGCTTCCAGCTAGGGAGAAAGTGGAACAAACGCGCCGTACATGCAAATTTGGATTTTTCGCCGATTTTGTGACTTGTTTCGCAAGTCCGGAAAGCCCCTCGGGGACCCGTGACAAGTACGTAAAAATTGGTATATTTCGGCCTCTGTGATGTGTGACATACAAATTGAATGAAATGGTACAGTAGTAGGGTGAGCAGTCAGTAGTTTACTATAGTGATGTCGCGGGCCCGGCTCGGCCTGAATGCCCGGCTTGGGCTCAGCTCGGGCGGGCTCGGGCTTCAAATTCTCCAGGCCCGAGCCCGAGCCCTGGGTGCGAGGCCTGAAGCCCTGAGCCCGGGCTTGGGCCCAGGCTTTCTCATAGTCAAAGATAAAAAACAGTATGCTAGGGTACATGTATATTATGTGGGAGTAGAATGTACCAAATGTCCCCACAACAAAGTTGGGGGGTTTTTCGGCTGTTCTGAACATTGAACACCGCTGCAATTCGGTGGGTCAACAGATTGCTGGCACTGATTTGTACCATTCCCCAGTTTAGAGCAGCGACGATCGGCCGAACAACAGGTTTATGCCATAAAGTTCGGCATTTGACGGAACCGAAGCCTCGCAAGCTGAAATGCCGTGAGCGCTTCGCGCTATCGGCACACTTGTGGCCATATATATCCAGGCCCGGGCTTGCGAGGCCTGGCGGGCCTGGCATTTCTCAAGCCCGAGCCCTAAGCCCGCCCAAGCCTTGTGTCGGGCTCGGCTCGGCTTGACCAAGCCCGGGCCTGGCTCGGCTCGGCCTGAGGGCCTGGGCCGGGCCCGCGACATCACTAGTTTACTAACATAGTGGACAGGCACTTACGGTTACCCCACGTGCCGTGACCATAACATTCCCTTTTGGGACATGATATGTTTTGACGGTGCCTTTGACAACTTTTCCGTAGCCTATAGACAATTGAGGACAGCAGAGCTGTAAATATACAAGAGCATGGTGGCTGCCCCACTTGGATCCGACAGGATGGTCCTGAGGAGTGATGTCAGACTTGAAGAAGCATAAGAGCTGTGAAAGCTGTTGAGATCTGAAAATAAAGCTGTTCTGCACGGTAGGTCTCAGCTCGAGCTTGGCATACCCGGTGTCATGGAGCCGAAATGTCCTCTGGCTACATGACCAGTGGTGCCGCGCTGAAGTGCAATGGCATCAGCAGATCCTAAAAGGCTTCGGACAAACACCCATAATTTCATAAATTCATGTATTACTAATTTTCCCTATGAAGTTTGAGTTAAAACGGAATGGCTTGTTATGATTATTCTATTTACATGCTACAATGTGGCATCTGGGTTGCCTCTCTATGTGATTCCAGCCACCGCCATGTCCCGCAAAAAAAATCGGGACTCAGGAATTACAGTTCATCACGGGTCGATGATACAAACGGCTCCCTGGGCCCAGGTTCCTATGCTGGACCTTAGCTAATTTAGTCCAGCATTGAGAGGCATTGTATATCCATTGTTACAAGTCTTTTGATTTATCAAAAACTGGTTATTTGTCATCAATTTTACTGCCAACTTAAAGTGGCTTTGCACCTATAACACTGGTTGGGAGATTTACAGCCAAGGACGGAACCGAAGGCGCGGTCGAAAATTTCTTGTTTTGGGATGTTTTCAGAGAATTGTTAGTAACTCAACGGGTTCTGCACCGATTTGAACGAAACCTAGATAGATCTGTCAGGCTAATTCATGCGCAATTAGTGATAGAAAAGAATTTGTGAAAATATTATGTATTGGGCAATCTGTAGTTTCAGGCTGAATGCTGTGTAGCATGCCCAGAACATGTCCCAGTGACCTAATATTTTGGGAAGGACAAACAATATGCCTGGAGGAACATGTGATAGGGCCAGAATTGTATAAAATCAATAGATCGATGTAATCCGTACAATATTTCTGAATGCAAAAGCTGTCAAATTTCTCCAATGCAGCTACAGAAGTATAACTAAATTATCTGTACTTCTGGCTCTATGACATATTTATACAGGTATACATGTTGTCCATCCTGAAATATTAGGTCACTGGGGCATGTTCTGGGCATGCTAGCAGCATTCGGCCCGAAAACAGCCCAAAACTACAGATTACCCAATACATAATATTTTCACAAATTCTTTTGTATCACTAATTGCGCATAAATTGGCCTGACAGATCTATCCAGGTTTCATCCAAATCGGTGCAGAACTCGTTGAGTTACTAACAGTTATCTGAAAACATCCCAAAAGAAGAAATTTTCGTTCGCGCCTTCGGTACTGACGTTAGCTGTAATAGCTCAACCAGTTCTGCACCGATTTGGATGAAACCTAGGTAGTTCTGTCGGGCTAATTCATGTGCAATTGGTGACAGAAAACGATTCAGGAAAATATTATATATTAGGTAATCTGTGCTTTTGGACCATTTTCGTACCAAATACCATCTTGCATGTCCAGGACATGTCCCAATGACCTGATATTTTGGGATGGACAACATATATACCTAAAGGAACATGTGATAGAGCTGGAACTGCGGATATGTTAGGTACAGTCCTTGTAGCTCCGTTGGATACATTTGGCACTTTTGGCATTCAGAAATATTGCAAGTATCGCATTTATATCGAGATTTTATACAATTATGGCTCTATCACATGTTCTTTTAGGTATATATGTTGTCCATCCCAAAATATCAGGTCATTGGGACATGTCCTGGACATGCAAGATGGTATTTGGTACGAAAATGGTCCAAAAGCACAGATTACCTAATATATAATATTTTCCTGAATCGTTTTCTGCCATCAATTGCGCATGAATTAGCCCGACAGAACTACCTAGGTTTCATCCAAATCGGTGAAGAACTGGCTGAGCTATTAACAATTCTTTGAAAACATCCCAAAACAAGAAATTTTCGACCGCGCCTTCGGTTCTGTCCTTGGCTGTAAGTTTTTCAGCACAATTTACAGTGAAAAATATTGTTGGGTTTTCAGACATTTTTCACTAAAAAGTAGGTGAAAAACTCAAATCATTTTTACTATTTTTTTGAGCTCGAGGTGAAAAATTCAAAAGAATGGTGAAAAATGTCATTTGTTTTTTAGACATTTTTCACCGTCACCTACTTTTTCGGTGAAAAATGTCTAAAAAACAAATGACATTTTTCACCATAAATTGTGCTGAAAAACTTGAATCCCTCAACCAGTGTAACGTAGTGGACTTGAGTAGTCGACAAATTGTACCAACTCACCAGTTGAGAGCTGTGGTTTGCTGTGTTTAATGGCAGACCGAAGTTCACTGAACACTGCTTCCTGCGGCTATCACTGATCGTTATCAATAATATCGCTGCCAGCGGGCCGAACAGTACACTGGTTGGGAATTTCAAGTTTTTCAGCACAATTTATGGTGAAAAAATGTTGTTTGTTTTTCAGACATTTTTCACTGAAAAAGTAGGTGAAAAACTCAAATCATTTTTACCATTTCTTGAGCTTGAGGTGAAAAATTCAAAAGAAAGGCAAAAAGTGGTGAAAAATATTTAAATCTTTCACCTCTTTTTTTACTGAAAAATGTCTGAAAACCCAACAACATTTTTCACCAAATTGTGCTGAAAATTTTGAATCTCCCAACCAGTGGTACGTTGTGAGCTATCACTTTGTGATTAGCTCTGAGCACCCTTCTGTGCAGAAGAAAAGTGCCCTTTGCGAAGCGCCCTGGCATACACCAACGAACCCTGCGACATGGCAAAAATGCACGTCAAATGGAATGCACCTTCGTGCTTTGCTGCGACAAGGGACAATGGAAAGCGCACCACGAATGGGCACCAGAAAAAAGTGCTACAAGGAAAAACAAATCACGGTGTTTAAGGCCAGACCCCGGGTCGAACGAGGGGAGCTTTGACCTCGAATCAAGCATCTGCGCGCTAACCGCTGTGCTACCTGGCCGTGATAGCGCGAACTTAAAAGTCACAATGAAGGAACTATTGATCGGGGTAATAAGAAACGGTGCTGGCGCACCTAGAAGATAAAAAGGTGCCGCGACGCAGAGGCGCTGTAAATCGATGGTGTGTGTTACCCTGACACCACTGGGCCGTACTTTCAACAACGATTGCTCAAGGTACATGCAAAACAAGGAATGGCGCCAAACAATCAAAACAAGTGGTTAAATTTCCCCAAGGCCAGACCCCGAGTCAAACGAGGGTAGCGGATCGAATATTGCTTTAATCTTGATCAAGCATCCACGCACTAACTGTTGTGCTATCTGGCCGTGATCAAAGACCTTGCAGGCATGAAGGAGTCATGAATGGGAGAACTGGCAGGGAAAAGGTGCAAGCACTGGTTGAAGGAAAAGACACAGGCACTGTTTGACGGAAAGGCACACATTTGGAGGGAAAAGGTGCAGGCACCATTTGAAGGAAAGACACATGTTTGAAGGAAAAGGCACAAGCACATTTGAAAGAAAGGTGCCGGGAGTTAGACCAATGGGGAAGCAGGGGAGGGTATAAAAGGAGGGCACAAAGAAGGGAGAAGGGATCTAATTACCTCCACTGCATACTGCTAAAAGAAAGGCGCTCCCAGTACAACGGGAGACGCTGATCCGGTACTTCTGTCAAATTGAATATATTAGTTTGCCTTCACGAGAGTAGGGTAATAGGGTCATCTTGACCGCGGTCGAACATATTAGGGACTGCGCAAGACACCTCCTGGGCAAGAAAGGAGGAACATTGGAATACAGGTGTTGAAGAGCGGTCAACAGCACGGCCGTCACGGCCGTGGCAACGCGCCAACCAGGTTGAATATTGTTTGGGTTTCGGTTTGAACGAAATGTCAGTTCTACATGATGTATTATAGACCCATTGGGGTCCTTACTGCTCTTTTGCCTCACTATTAACCTGTCTAGTGCACCAAACAAAATTTTCAGTCAAAATATCCGGTCTTTCCTAGAGCGGAATGAAGGTACGGCAGTCTCGGCAGGCCTCAGTACAATTCTTCTAGGTCCCAACAGTGTAGGAAGGACTCACAACGAGTTGAAGGTGCATAAAAGTGGGTCAATAGACCACTTGGAACAGGATTTAAAGCCCAAATATTATGATACACCCGTGTACCGTTGGCTTGCCGTTACGGCCCGTCTTTCAACGGGCCGTTTTTGGATGCGCAAAATCTCCGACGGGACGGGCACGGTACCCCTCGAACGTGTACCGTCGAACCGTCGCAATGGCAACGGGCGGCAGCCCTAGACCCGGGCGGACCTGTCCCCGGGACTTGCCGTAGGTGCAGGCCCGTGGCTATTACTAATGCACCTCCTCCTCCAGCAGTTGAGCTGAGTTCAACTGTACTCATTATGGCCAATTTCTATACATGCTTATTGAGGTTTAAAGCAGGGAGGAGGACACCTAATAGCACATAGTGTGTACCCGCCTTTTCTGGGTATTCTTTGTGCGTGCAGGCGGGAGGTCCCTGTTCGATTCAGGGTTGGGTGATTTAATGCCGGGAAATCTTTTCCCCTCTTTACTCTCTACCTGATAGCAAATTGTGGATAATCCTTGCATAGGTAATGGCCTTCAACCCTGCAATCTGTGTATCTTTCGGCTGGTCACTTTTCTTTCCACCAATAAACTCCAATGATATACTAATCCTACATTTGCAACCATACTCACCTATTGTTGCCTGCCCACACCACTCAAGGTTCAAAGCCGGCGGGGGAACACCTGATAGCACATGGTGTACACCTGCCTTCCTTTGTTTGCCCATCTCTAGATGTAGGCATGAGGTCCTCGTTTAATTTGAGGTTGGGTGATTGCCACTGATGCTCTCAAACCCCTTTTCCCTGGCCAGGTGATTGATCCTCTCTCCAAGTAATGTTGCCGCGACTCGCGACTCCAAGGCTCCGAGTCGACTTTCCAAGTTGAGATAAGTCGAGTCGAGTCGAGTCACGGATGTGACTTCGTGCGACTCCCAAGTCGGACCAAGTCGACTTGCACCGACTCCGAGTGACTCCGAGTCGATCTCGAAATTCAATTAGGTACCTGTTATCAGCTACAGCTCAGAGAAGTTGAGAGAACGCGGATAATACCCAGAAAGCACATTCCACCGTCATTTCTCTTCAACTCGTCGCGAGAGGCTTCGGTAGCGATCAAAAATACTTCAGCGGGATTGGGAAGAGGTATAGAATGCTCTGAAATTTACTCCGTGAAGTGTGATGTTCTTAAGTTGACAAAATGCGGTGTTAAAGTCAAAAGATTAAATGTTGATGTCCCATCAATTTCATCCCTGAAGGCGCCGGTGGTGGTAAACATACCTCAGAAATATCTGAGAACACTTTGGGCAGTTACATGGGTGCCCCACAGCAATCTATAACAACATTGGACCTTTCCGCCGAGAACATTCAGAAAACTCCGACTCAATTGACTCGAGTCAACTTGAGTCGACTTCGAGTGACTCATGGATGGGAAGTCGAGTCGGGTCGGGTCGATCGGCTTTTTAAGTCGACTTGTCGAGTCGCGGCAACATTATCTCCAAGACCTGGTCTTTTTGGTGTTGTGTTGGCAAACTGCCTTTGTGTTAAAATCCAGGTTGGTGTGGTTTTGGTCAACGGGATCACTGATTTTTGCTTGTACCTATCAAGGGCTGGAGCTACTCCGAGTAGGTTTTTTTAAAAAAAAACCTGGTAGAACATGGTATGCACCTGTGTTCTTGATGCTTCTGCAGCCCATGTAGGCGGGAGGTCCCCGTTCGATTCGGGGTTGGGTGATGCATCTGTTGACACCACTTTTTGCTCCCTTACAACTCATTGATCTTTTCTCTCAGCAGCTGGTGCATATTTCTTTGCACTCGCTCAGGTAACTATATCTTGTTCAACTTGGCTGATACTAGCAGTTGAGGTGAATTAACTACACTCACCAATTGCTTCTGCGGACACATATCCAGTTCTGGAGTGGGTAAGAAGACACCGGATAGCACATGGTGTGCACCTGCCTTCCTTAAGTGTTCTTTCAAGGTATGTAAGCAGGAGGTCCTCGTTCAATTCGGGGTCGGGTGATGGTCTTCGTCTTTGATTTCGAACCCTTTTCCACATCATTGATCTTTTCTCCCAGCAGTATCTGTAATTCGTCCCTATACTCAGTCAATTACTTAACTGGATACCTTGTTCAAACTGGCTGATCCCAGCAGTTGAAGTGAGTTTAACCATATCTTGTACCGACTTGTGCTCACACTCATTGCAGTTTAAATCAGGTAGGAGAACACCCGATAGCACATGGACCTGCCTTTGTTTGAGGGCGAGAGTAATATATATTGGTAGGAGGCCCCCGTTCGACTCGGGGTCGGGTGGCTTGGATCTGATGAGGTTAATTCCTTTTTCTGCATCTCAAGTTCTTGATCGATCTTTTGCAATTACAGTAAAATTGAGTTCACTGTGACTTTTTACACTTGAGTGGTTTCCTGTTCAGCGATTTTTTCCCTACACCCCTACGCTATTGAAACTGGGTAGAAGAACACCTGATAGCACATGGTGTGCTCCTGCCTTCCTTTATCGCCCTCCACAAAATGTAGGTAGGAGGCCCCCGTTCAACTCGGGATCAGGTGATAGTGACTGTGTTAGATATCCTCTTTTTTTAACTTATTTCCTTCACAAGAACGCGAGTATATATAGTAAATATCCTGGTCCCCGCGCAATCCCGAGCGCGGCTTGTGAATGGTATTATAATTTACCCAACTTCAAGTTGAAGTTTTTTTGAACACCGTCGGCCTTCGACCGTCCTTTTTTTGCTGCAAAAATGAGTTTTGTACCCACCCCCTCTGCGCACACCTATTGAGGTTCAATTCAGAACTGGATAAGAGAACGAACACCTGATAGCACATGGTGTGCACCTGCCTTTCTTAGAGGTGTACTTTGCAACATGTGGGCAGGAGGTCCCTGTTCAATTCGGGGTCAGGTGCTGAGGCACTGCTCATGTGAGTTTTTCTCCAATCAATTGCCCCATTCTCTGGGTTTAACATCCACGAGGCCATCTAACCTATTTTCCTCAGGGTGGCTATGTTCAGGGTCTTGGGTGTTCCTCAAGCCAGAGCATTGTAAATTTGAGTTGTGTTTCTTCTTTCTCAGTGGTATTCACCTGCATTACTTTTTATTGTCCCCTACCCAGCCTCTACACAAAGCTAAGAACATCTGATAGCACATAGTGTGCACCTGCCTTCCTTCACTACTCTCCCAGTGGGATGTAGGCAGGAGGTCTCCGTTCAATTTGGGGTCAGGTGATCCGCAAATGCCAGTGAATTTTTCCCTTGTTCCAATCAGTTCCTCTCTTTGACATTGTTTTCTGAACAACCGACCGTGGTGAGATGCGTATTACTTTTCTTTCCTGCAAAAAATTGAGTATTTCACCCACCCCTGCACACACTTACTATATTGAGGTTCGAAACTGGATAAGAGAACACCTGATAACACACGGTGTGCACCTGCTTTCCTTGGGGAGCCAAGCTATGCAAATGTAGGTAGGAGGCCCCCGTTTAGGGTTCGGTTTATAGTCCCTGGGCGAATTATAAACAGTTTTTAATTTTTTGTTTATAAACCGGTTTATATCGCAGGAATGGTCAAAAATTTGGGCTTCCGGCGAGTTTTGAATCGATGTTCAGCCCAGGCTGACCTTGTGAGGCAGATAACTGCTGGTCAGTCGCTGGAACACTTCCAAGCTCTCGGGGAAGGATTTTGAGAACACCAACCATGAATTTGGGGCACAAAATTTGATCCGAGCGACGATCCCGAGAGCTAAGTCAATCAGACGGCTGAAGTTGCAACGAAGAGGGTGGTTAGTCACTCCTTCTGAATTTTTCTGCCTCAACTCTGCGGAAGTTGGCCCTAAGGTTGACCCTCTGGCAGGTCTACCGAGCACTGCCACACCGATTTAAAAACCGGGGGTTTTGGCCCAACCATTGTAAACCAGGTTTATAAACACGTGTTTATAAACATGTTTATTAACCAGACTTAAAAACAGAACCCTACCCCCGTTTGACTCGGGGTCGGGTGATATTGTGATATTTTCTTTTTTAACTTATTTCCTGCACAAGAGTTAGTGTATATAGTAGACACCAATCCCGACCTGTGTCCCTGTCAATAGTATTATAATTTACCCAGTTTGAAGTTGAAGTTTGAACACCGTCGTTCACATTACTTTTGCGTTGCTGCCAACTGAGTTTTACACCCATCCCTGCGCACACTTACACTTATTGAGGTTCAAAACTAGATAATAGAACACCTGATAGCACATGGTGTGCACCTGCTTTCTTTGAGGAGCCGAGATGTGTGTAAATGTAGGCAGGAGGCCCCCGTTCGACTCGGGGCATCAGGAAAAACCAAAATGCTATGATAGAACATGGCCTTTTCTGTGGCTCTCTGGCGGTCTTTGAATGTCTATAAGTCGACCACCATTTTTATGGACGTCTATGGGTGACTCTGGACTTTCGTCTCGCAGTGCCAATGTTTATGACAGTCTATAGGTCACCAGTCTTTCAAGTGTGATCCGACCCACCTATCTTCCAATGAACGGCTTATGGAGAGCCTGCACGGCGTGCTCCCCCATGAGATCGGACTTGAATAATAAATTGCATCAGTGAGAAAGTCGACGCAAATTTGCACGAGGCGAAAGTGCAACTAGTCAGTTTGAGAATTATCATGTCAAGACACTTTAAAGTTCAACAGGATTCATGATTGTACAGTTCATTTTGCACAGAACCCTGCGCAAATAGCCAGCATCAACAGTGTTTCAACAGGGAATTTCCAGGACTCACATTCAGATTATTTTCCAAAGTGGTGTGAAAAGTACGCGATTTTGATCTCTACCAGATGACCCGTGTAGAGAATTAACTCACAGTCGCGAACATTGTGCGATGCCAGGCGATGGCATATGCCGATCATGAATAAGCGGAGGCGATGGTGCCGTACTGTCACGTGCGCGCGAAAATGGTTCGGTTTGATGAGGGACAAACAAACACCCACTTCCCGTCGCTTTCTCTTCCACCACTCTCATCAAGTCTCGACTTGGTCTCGAGGGCTCCTTGCTGCTTTCTACTCCCGATGGAATCTACTCCTGGTGCTAATCACATTGCCCATTGCTCGATGGCTGCATATGGGGTGTGTATTTTCCCTTGAATTTCGGTTAGTGCTCGACGGTGGCTCCTGGCGGACTTCAGGTGCGCTCTCTTTCGATTTTACTCGGCATATTACATCTCCCCTTTACTTCCCTCCCGTCACTTTACCCCCCAATCCCGCATATTCTCCGGACTGTACACCTCCCTCCCAGTCGTCTTTCCCATCTCAGCCTCTCCTTTTCTTTTTCCCCCTGCTTTTATTGGCCGCTAATTTGTATTTAATTTCAGTATTTGGTGACTCCAATTAAGCTGCCGAGGGGTGCGCGCACAGCCAGCAGCACATCAAAACCTCAATCGGCCTCCCATTTCGCCGACCTTCATCATCGATAGCCGCGCAGCACCAATCTTGAATTGGCCGCCGCAGCACGCCGCTCCACAACGACGCCTGTTGGGGAACCCACAATCACCTTAGCGGTATCCCGGTACAGCTCTCACCTGCATTACCAAATTTCGCCTCCCCGACAATCTCCTGTCGAAATTCCCTGTTGTCCCCCACTTCAAGTCCACTATTCAACACTCAAACCACAAAGCCTCATCTCAAGTCCATCGCCAGCTTCGTCGCCGTCAAAACCGCGGCCTCGAGGTCTCCACGTGCCGCCATGATCGAGTCTTTCCGTCATCGAGATCGCGCGGAGCCCACCGCCCTCAAGGCACCAAGTCCCAAGGTCGTCGAACCTTCCACATGCAGACCGGACAAGTCGCTTCAAGTTCCGGACTCAACGCTCAAGACCCCGTGGCTCCCGGTCCGCCGCCGTTGACACCGCGTTGACAGCCGAACTTGCACAAGAATGAAGGCCGCAAAAATGACCCGTACTCTTACATACCATACCGCGCAACGGTTGTAAATTTTCTATTTCAAGACCCACAACGCAAACTTCCAGACACCGTCTCAAGTTATCGGCGCGTGCTTCACTCAAGTAGATGTTCAATCACTCCAAAACTTTTACCGGTCTTATCACATCGCTTGTAACCTCCGCTAGCTTCCATCAAATAACCGGTCATTCTGAATTCGCAATATTCGATAGCCCTGTATGCAACGGGCGTCCTCTTCCCGTGATGGTTGCCCGCCCAGTGTTGCAGCTAAAGCCCTTATTAAGGGTAGAAATTGTTTTAAAGGCTTTAGTAATAAGGCTATAAAGGGCTTTAAAACAATTAAAGCCCTTTACATCAAAATCAGCTTAATTCGGATCAAAGTAGGTAGCGTGCTAATCGGGCTTGAACTCGTCCCCGGACCCGGACAGCGGTCCGTGTCGAGCTCCTCATCGCTTTCCTCTGCTACGAGAAGCTCCATCATCAATACCTCCCGCGTGAATTGTTCCCGACGCGGAGGAAGAGAAGAAAATTTATGATCAATTGATCGGATTGATTGACAGGCACGTGGATACTTAACCCTTTCAAACCCTTTAAAACATTCCTCGCTGTCTTGAAGGCTTTATATTAAGGGATTATTAAGCCCTACCCCTTAACCCTTTACTGCATCACTGTGCCCGCCGGCATTCAGAAAGTGACGAGGATGAGCTGGGATGAGTCTTTCCTCCGTGATGGTTGTGCAGTCCAGGGTGAGAAAGAGGACATCAACACGTTTGTGCATTACACTTCTCCTCCGACCCAGTGGTGGCCTTGCGGCCCAGAATCCACATAGATTAAGTTCGGCATTGGGTGAGAGCCCGGTGGGCTCTCCGACGCAATGTGGGGGCCTGCAGCGCAGATACCCGAAGCTGTAGCAGTGGACGACGCCTTGGTGTAGCAGGATCCCCATAAATTGTAGGAGGACAGTCCGAGTTGGGAGTTGACACGCGGGGCACCCACCACCGATTATGAAAAAATAAGCGACGGACACTTATAACTGGTGGGTTCTCCGCGGTTGTGCGGCGGTTGTTTCGCTTATGACAGGTTCCCCCGCGGTTGCGCCGAGCTGAGGTTTGCCGAGGCCTAGACCTCTAGCTGTGTGGGATCCTTCTGCTAAATGAGAGCTCGCGATCAATAAGCGGCACAACCGCCGCACACCTGCCACGTACAAGCGTCCGTCGCTTATGAAAACATAAGCGATGGTGGATGCCCCCTGTGTGAGGCAGTTTCAGATGTTGATAAAATGTAAGGACCTTCAGAAATTTCTACTGCCTTGGCGTGAGTTATAGCTTGGCTTGTAAATGTTTCAGATGGCATCCAGGTTGGTTTGGTTGGTTCAAAAGACACTTGATATGCTAGTGGAGGTCCCAAGGAATTTTCGGAAGGGCAGCAGGAATAAAGCTGCCCAAGACGGAGCAGGTCCGGTGAAGGCAGTAACTGGGGCAAGGGTTGAAGTAAATGGGGATTTTCGAGGCCGATGACGGAATTTCAAGCCGAGAACCGGAGATGCCTTGCCGGCTAGTCTGTGTGGGCGATCACTGGCTGAAGTGTGTTATGGCGCCGTTGCAATTGGTTAGGGATTGCGGGGATAGAGTTATTTTAGAGGACGGGCAGCGTGGTGAAGCGAGGTTTGCGGCGACAAGTCAGCTCTCGCGAAGTAGCATTAGAATATGTTGCTGGAAAGTTAGACGGGTCGCCGGTCAGAAATCGAACGTGGAGGAAAAGTTGCTTGCGTAAAAGAACGGCTCAAAAAATGGAACTTGGAATGAATTAGGTTGAATCGCAAACTGGATTGCATGTTGAAGTGAGGCCAGATCGAATGGACAGTATGGAAGCTCGTAGACAGCGGCAGCATGGCGGCGAGATCGAGATTGGTGAGTACTACACAGCTCGAAGCGGTGGAAGGGGCGAGCCGGAGTGACGGTAGGATGAATGACCTGTCA